AAATAAGCATTCAACCTTCTCCAAATCCCTCCAGAGGCGTGCACGTCGCGGAGAAGGCACACGGCAGGTCAAGGTCAAGTCATCTTAAGTACCAGAGGTGATTGTTGACCTGTCGTGACTAACTCTGGAGGGTTGGCGCTAACGAGAGCCGTTTTTGTTATCGACCAGTATGGAACATGATGCCTGGCCAGTATTGTCGTACTCCTCTACCACCAACGAACGAAGAATAGGACTTCAGGAAAGACTCAGCATGAAAAAGACGTCCCCGATGTGACTACCCTAGTGGACCGGCACGGATGCTATATTCTCGGACAGATGGTTTAACCGGCGCCGAGTATAAATAAACTCAAACTGACTGACTGAAGCATTCAACACAGATGTAGATTTCAATTGTCATCACCATAACGCAGGCGTCACTTCCACATCGCTGTGTCATTACCATAACCTCACTTGTTTTTAATTTTATTTTTTCCCTTTAAAGAAATATCGAAGACAATTTTAAGCATTTCTCATTTATTTCATTTATACATTTATTATACAACAAAATTTTTAACATTTGTATCCCTATTAAGGTGAAAAATATATTCTAATGTTGGTATTTTTTTACTTTTATGGAGGTTCCTGATTTGTCAAATGATACGAGTTTTTCTGAACATAGATTTAACGTGTTATTAAATCAAAAGATGTAATAGATGTCGTTTTACTGAATAACCTTGTATGAACAAATGATATCCCTACCCATTTTTTCACTATTTTGCATTTAAAAAATGTTGTGGTAATGACTCTGAAGTGTTGCTCACCCGATTCATTTATAAAATATAAAAAATCAGACAATATCTATGCACGGAATTCAATATCAAATGATGCTAGATAACAATATAAATGAATGAAATGACTGAAGTTGAGAATTTTGCGATATCCAGTCAAGCCTTTGATCTTTCAACAGAAAGGCAAAAACTATAGAATCACCCACGTGGTCATTGAGGAAGGAAGTCTTGTAGTCTTCTTCCATGGAACAGCTAGGTCAAGTTCAAGACACCTGTACCAGAGACGATTCGTTGACCACTCACGACTCGGGAGGGTGGCGCTAACAAGAGCCGTTTTTGTTTGTTGCTAAAAACTGGACAGTATTGTCGAAAACGAACGAAGAAAAGGTCAAGGAAGACTCAGCATGAAATCTTCCTCGATGCGACTTCAACAGTGGACCTGCATGAACGCTGATACATCTCGCACATATGCATGCATGGTTAATCCGGGCGCCGAATATAAATAAAACTACACACCACAAGCTACTACTTATTTTTAACAGCAATCCGATGACTATATTACCCCGATGCTTTTCTTTTAAGAGAAAATGTATATACTTATATAATTCTATAGAAACTTAATGCTTTCAAGAGCCAGCTGTGCCAAAGCGGGGACGACTAACATAACATTGGGGACCTTTCTGTTAAAAATGTGTCAAGAGTTAAATCGTTTACATATACATGCACAGTGCGTTAAATGGGGTGCAGGTATTGGTTCTTTTTTGATGGGGTTCAGCCTACTCATTGTGACTGCAGTTATCGTTAATTGGTTACCTTTTTCGTGGGTTTCATATTTTGACAACAGCTAGGGAACGTGTTTTTATGTTTGACTATGATACAAAAGAGAAACAACATCAAAATACTCGGCAATCTGATTACGCCCCCTCGTACAATTAAATCAGATAGCCTCGAGTTTCGATGCTCTTTTTATTACTTTGGACACATGTCTAAACTCTCGGCATTGCAGTTTCAGAGAAGATTGTAAAAGCATTTACGAAACAAGTCAATGCAGATAAGGTTTTTGAATTATCAATTTCTTATTTTAAATTGTGTTTACGGTAATTCCTCCTAAAGGCCAGATCAAATCTGTGTTCATGTATGTCTATTGTTATGGGTGATTTAACTGGTTCTACAAGTATAGTGACGTATGATTGGCTTTGCATTAAAGTTATCATTAGCTGATTTGGTTAACATTTCTAAGTAACTGACCACGCCTTTACTCGCTTTCAAAGTCGCAAATTAGAAATTTCTTATTTGAAATACTTATACATTATAAATACACGTACATTTAATTTGTTTTAAAGTAACATTCTATCAAATCTGGTATGTTTAATTATATATATTTATTTAATTTGAATTATGAAATGTTAAAAATGTATTGTAACTGTGCAATATGTAATTTATGAATTGTCTATTGTAAAATATTTCTCTTTCTTATTTGTCTTGTAATCATTTCAATTGTTATAAGCTAACTCTCCTGGTACCTGATTAAAAATAGAAAACATCTTCCAGCGTTGTTAACAAAAACCCACCACTTTACATCAATGAAAGTAAAATGACCCAAAGGGTGGGGTTTATTTTTTAAATAACTAAATGCTATCATAAATTTATCTGTGAAGGGCCACGATGTGATGCTTCATTCATGCCAAACACATTAGCTCTTGGCATTGTAGTTTCGGAGAAGGCGACATTTTGTTCTATACACAAATCGGGAGAGTGATCCATCGGAGAAGCATTAATCACAAAACACATGAAAATTGAAGACTCAGTTTGATTGAGTCTGTACATGAGGAATAATGAAATAGTGCAACATCCTTCACACTCCATATAGCACCGACTTGAGCGGTACTCACTTTTCAATACTTAAAAGTGCTGGAGATCAGAACAATATAAATAATAGGGTCATAAAAATATACATGTATCATGTTTTCACTGTTTCCGAGGGATCATGCACCACGATTCAGATTTTTTCTTCTTAGATCATGTGCTAACCTTGGACATTTCATCAGTTATGCCCCTAGATAATTTACCACGGAGTATTAGCGAAATACATGTATATGCATTTTGAGCCACCTAAAAGGGCAATAATCCGAGAAAATATGAAAAGGAGGCAACCCTGAAAAGGGCTGTTGGTGGCAAGCAAAGGATCTTTCAAGCCATAACTCTAAGCACCCTAGCACACTTCCTCGTCGTCCGTGTCTACTTTGTAAAGCCATTCCCGTCGGCTTTAGCCAGGACATCGGCAGCTGGTCCGCATGCATGGACACGTTTTGATCTTTATTTACTTTTCACCATTCCGAGCTGTTGAAATCATTTCCTTAAACATTCGTTATGTACCAATTCATATTAAAATCTAGCACATTGAGATAGGTTGGATTTACTTTAGAGCATGCCTATTTCTCGAAGCACCATAACATAAAAAATCCTACTTAGATGTAAAAGATTATTTCTAGAAACAAAGGGCCGTAACTACAAAAAATGCTCGGTGGATTTTCATCCTCATCCCCCTATTCATATAAACATTCCTTCCTAATGTCAAGAACAAATCAGTTCAAAAATATGAACCAAGACGGATGGTTGGACAGACTGACAATGCCATTGCAATATCTTCTTCAGATTTTATTAGAGGAGAAAATTATATACAATGTATGTATTTTTTCTACATCCATTAACAAATATTGACATGTATTATTATTAACAGGCCTGAGGTATTTTATTAGGTTTTCATTTATTAAAATGAACATGTATTTACGATATATATGTATTTACTTGATTGTATGTATTTATTTACATGTATTAATTTACTTATTCAATGACTTATTTATTTACATATACATTGAAAGATAAAATATTATAACAATACATAATGTACATTCATTGTAGGATAAATTTGCATAATACTAGTATAACATAATTATACAAACATAAAAAAAACTATAAAAAAATAAAGAAAAATTACAGTATAATTGTGTACACAAATAAAAATTGAACTTCTAATTCTACTTAAAGTTTTAAAGTGGCAATTTATGCAGATCCAAGTATAAATGAAAACTAAAAATAACTTTTAATAAATTTCATATTTTAATATTACTATGAAAAGAAAATCAATAATTCACATGACCTGATCAAAGAAAATTTCTAAAAGTATCATTTTTTTTAATTTTAATACATGTGTAGGTCTGTCTAGCCACATTTCTTGCTTTGTTCAAGTATAAAACATTTCCAAAAATAAATGACAAAGTTAAAAAAATACATATATCTATAAAGCAAAATTCTATCATCTGACCTTGACAGTCAAGGTCATTTCAAGGTGAAGGTCATATTTAAAATTATTCAACATGTCTGTTTTGATGGTAACGCTAATATGACTGTAACCATCTTTTGTTTTTCTTCGAAAACAATAGAGCTAAAAGTGAAAACAATTAAGAAAAATGTAACATGTAACACAATTATGTACCTGTAAACTTTATACTTGACTCTAACCCATTAAATACCACTTTAACTGTTCAATTTTCAATTTTGGGTCATTTTTCACAATTATAATTATCATTCTGGAAAAATGGCATGAGCAAATGATATGAAATTTTGTACACAAGATATTAGTGTAGACCTCTATAAAATGGAGCATAAATCTCAATAACAATTATTTTCATTCCTGTCATGTCAAAAAAATCCAAGTGGTGTCCCTTTAAGCAAAACACTAGACTGTAATGATTTCTTTCCAAAAATATAGTATCATAAAACAACAATCTCCTTGAAGGCACACCAGTTTTTAATCCAGCAATACACATTAGAATACAGACTATCATGCTGGTCTTTTCAAGCAATTACAAATAAAAAATATCACAAAATCATTTAATCACATCATATCACTATGACTGGTGTACCCATCTTTTTGCAAAATAACGAGATGTTATATTCCAGGCAGAGAAAGGACTACAACAACAATAACAGCTGCAGAGAAACCTCACAAGAGTGGTCTTCTATAACTAACAACAGTATTAATTCTAAAATTTCACATACATGTATATATAACAATAACCAAATTTATTTTCTTCTAAAGAGTGTTGATCAAACTTAACTGAGGTTGTACTTCATATCTTAGAATCTATAATGAAAAAGATCACAAGTTCTATCATTTATCCGTTTTCAGCTGTATATATTGTCATGTGTTGATTGGAGAGATAACTTTTTTATATCAGATATAAATACTCATTCAAATATCTTATTGGTAATCCAAACAGGGCTCTCACTAGGATCTGAATCTCACCAGTCGGTGACTCATTCACCAAAATTTCTACAAGTCAATCAATCAAATCACTTTTTTCATGCAAGCACTCTCTGTTTTGTTATATTTCTGAGAAAATGTAAAAAGTTAGGTTAACCAGTCTTTATTCTCAGCTGATCAGGAAGGATACTTTTCCAAGCTTCTTTAAATGTACCAAACTTAAAGTTCTTCTCAACAATATGTGTATCTTCCTCACCAATATCAGGTTTAATGTCAACAATGTTTGCATCTTCCTCACCAGTATCAGGTTTCATGTCAATAATGTTTTCATCTTCATCATCAGTATCAGGTTTCATGTCTACAATGTTTGCATCTTCCACATCAGTATCAGGTTTCATGTCAACAATGTTTGCATCTTCCTCACCAGTATCAGGTTTCATGTCAACAATGTTTGCATCTTCCTCATCAGTATCAGGTTTCATGTCTACAATATTTGAATATCCCTCATAAGTATCAGGTTTAATGTCAACAATGTGTGCATCTTTCTCACCAATATCAGGTTTCATGTCAATAATGTTTACATCTTCCTCACCAATATCAGGTTTCATGTCAACAATGTTTGCATCTTCCTCACCAATATTAGGTTTCATGTCAATACTGTTTGCATCTTCATCATCAATATCAGGTTTCATGTCAATACTGTTTGCATCTTCCACGTCAATATCAGGTTTCATCTCAACAATGTTTGCATCCTCATCATCAGTATCAGGTTTCATGTCAACAATGTTTGCATCTTCATCATCAGTATCAGGTTGCATGTCAACAATGTTTGCATCTTCCTCACCAACATCAGGTTTCACGTCAACAATTTGTGCATCTTCCCCATCAGTGCCTGCTTTCATCTCGTCAACTTGTGCTGTAATCTTATCGGTTTGCACTTTCATAAGTTCAGAAAGATCTGTACTTAAAGCAAATGACTGTTCATCAATAAAGCAGTGAAAATTCTTCATCTCTCCAATGTGGAGCTTCATATGTTGAGAAAGGTCTGTACTTAAAGCAAATGATTGTTCACATATAAGACATTGTATCGTCTTCTCATCACTGTGTGTTTTCATCTCATCACTGTGTACCTTCATATGTTGAGTCAGACCAATACTTGTTGCAAACACTTGTTGACATAGAAAACATTGAAAGTTCTCCCCATCACTGTGAGCTTTATTCTTACGCTTGTGCCCCTTTATGTGTTGAGAAAGATGTTTACTAAAAGCAAAAGATTTCTTACATATAAAACACTGAAAGTTTCTCTCAGCAGTATGTACTTTCACATGTTCAGCAAGCCTACGCTCGTCTTTAAAAGGTTGTCCACAGGTAAAACACCGCCAGCTTTTGTCATCTTTGTGCACTGCAATATGTCTTACAAGATATTTTTGTAATGAGAATGTTTTCTCGCACATTCCACACTTAAATCTCTTCTCACTTGTGTGTTTCGCACTGTAATGCGCTAAGACAGCTCTTCTTGTTGAAAAAGTTTGTTCACAGATATCGCATTTGTAAATCTCACCGGTGTGTATTCTCATATGCTCAGACAGACTCTCAGCCCAATTATATTCTCTTTCACATACATGACATTTATATAAGTAAACACCTGGATGTTCTTTCATATGTTTAGATAAACAAATTCTTCGTGAAAATTCCTTTTCACAAAATCTGCATTTATTTTTCTTTCCACCAATGTGCCGCTTCATATGTCTTGTAAGATAATCTTTCAAAGCAAACTTTTTCTCACAATGCGTACACTCGTATTTCTTTTCTTCAGTATGCGTTTTCAAATGAACAGACAAAGATTTTCTGTGAGCAAATACATTTTTACAAATATCACAGGTAAACTTCTTTACATTGTCTGTATGTGTTCTTGTATGTATTGTCATATGTTTTCTCAAATTTCTGCTTTGATTTGACATATAATCACACACAGTGCACCGATAGTCTTTATCTTTATTGTGTACTTTCATGTGTTTTCTCAGATTACTTTTTGAAGCAAATGTTTTTTCACATATTTCACATTTATAATTCCTTTCACTTACATGAGTATTCATGTGACCCCAAAGACAACTTTTCCAAATAAATTCTTTTCCACAGATGTTGCATTTAAAATTTTTCTCACCTGTATGCAGACCCATATGCTGCTTTAAAAGACCTTTAAAACTGAATGTTCTATTACATATTCTACACTTATTCTTTTCTCCTGTCCGCCGACTTTTGCCACATAATTTCTTACTAACATCGCTATCATTAGTTGATATTTCACATGGAACAAATTCCTGTTCCCTTTCTTCTGTATGCTCTTCCAATCTATCATTAACTGATATTTCACATGGAACAAATTGCTGTTCCCTTTCTACTGTATGTTCTTCCAATTTATCATTAGTTGATATTTCACATGGGACAAATTGCTGTTCCCTTTCTTCTGTATGCTCTTCCAATCTATCATTAACTGCTGTCTCACACATAACAAAATCTTTTACCCCTTCTTCTCTATGTTCTTCCATTATTTCAATGTAACAATAACTCAACTGTCAGAGAGAAATCTATTAGTTCTTCTTTTATAAGGTTTCTGTTACATTATGTCTAAACATTAGTTTATTTATCGTATCCTGGCATTACTTTGAAAAAAAAATGACATTGATTCCTTTCATTTTCTAAGAACTTCTGATAAAATTATACTTATTATGAAAGTTAGTATTATTGTGGTTTAAAGGGTCACTCTTTGTTGTATAAAAGCATTGAACTAACAGCCTTTCCTTTTCATTTGTGATTTCATATTTCATGAAAATAATTTGTTAATAAACTTGCTTTACTGCTTTTGTCCTGGGCTTCCAAAGATTGGTGAAATGTTCTCTTTTTCCACTGTTGACAGCAATATAACTCTGAAAATGGAAATACATTCTTAAAATGATATATGTTATATATAAATTGTTAATACATGTACATTACATATAAACATCACAATTATCACATACAAATCAAAACATGCAGGATATTTATAACAAACATTTTTGTCTGGAATTTAGATTTTAAAAAATCTACACAATCAAACATGTGTGATAAAAACATCAAAGCCGCGTCACGACAAAACCAACAAGTAGAGAAACTGAAAGCGAACAGCATGGATCCTGATCAGACTGCGCGGATGCGCAAGCTAGTCTGGATCCATGCTGGTCGCAAACACATTACGTTGGTTTTGTTGTGACGCGGCTCAATTCTGTATTTTCAGTTACTAAAATATTAAAAAGTATTATAGACTAAATTAGATTACTAATGATATTGGCTATGATCTTACTTTCTATCTTGGAACAAAGTCTATATTTCTTTGTATTTTTTTTTTTAATAATAGAAGTGTTGTAACTTGTACTTTGTTGTATTAATATAATTATATAATCTGGGTTACTAATATCATGTTTGTATCAGTAGCCCAGATAGAATGGCCTGTTTTTGCTTGTTGTTTTTTTCTCTGACTCTAAATTTCTATATTTTTTATGTTGTCATAGCTTCATTGGGAAAGTGATCAGTATTATTTTGAGTGATATTAATTATCACACAAAGATCAAGGTGGCAATCAGTGTGCCTTCCAGACTCAAGCTGTAGATATCAATTTGTAATAACTAATATAATCATGATAATGTGTAAATTCAAATTGATATCATAGATAAAAAAAAATGTTCATTTTCAAAATTAGATTTTAAATTTAGCAGGGTCTTTCAAATAGAATGGTCTGGAGTCTGACCAATTTTATGAAAAAAAGATGTCTCGGTTGAGTCACGTGATTGGGTTATCTACCGACCGTGATCTGGCATAACTTACATCACCATTCAAAAATCAAATTATAAGATATGTTTTGTTAAATCAATAAAAAAATACTAAAAAATAACCCTGGCTACATTAAATTATCAGTTTTTATTATAAAAAGTAACAATGTTATAGATTTGCAATGAAATTAGGAATTTTTCATTCCCGGTGTCAAGGTAAAAATTTACTGCTCATATTTGAAAATAGGTTTCATGAGCTTTTTTTAAAATGCATTGTTCAATGACAAAATAGAAATTGATTTTACAGAGAAAAAATGTTATTTAATTGTATCATGTAAAAATATTTTAATATTTAACGATGCTATTTACAAATATTTGATGTTTAATTTGGTGCATTTTCAAAATGGCGTCGTTTATCGGCAAATATTCTGAGTAAGCAATTTATTTTTTTCAACAAATATGGCTTTAAAAACATTTTTTTCTGAAATATATATACTTTTTTCACAAGTTTAAAGTTATTTATATAACATCATGTCATTAAAATTTTCATTTTGCTCTTGTTTTTAATTTTTGCCCTTTTCTTGAACACTTACATAATTTGCTTATACATAGCAAACTATACAGAGTTAATATACCAAGACATGTTGTTTAAGTGTAGCGATAGTGCGTTTCTAGACCATTCTATTTGAAAGACCCTGAATTTAGATACTAATGGGACAATTTCTAAAAATATCATAAAAAAACATTCAATCAAAACATATTTTAATTTACAGTTTATTTTCAACAATAACGATACGGACAGTGGCAGCATGGTCAAGTGGTTAATGCGTCGGACTAGTTATCAAATGATTGCTATCCAGATGGTTCAAATCCACTCAGAGGCAAGTTGTTGTTTCCTTAAGCAAGAAACTTTACACTCATTGCTCATTGTCTTCAAAATTTGAGAGGTGAATTGTCTGGGAGCAGGGCATTTTTTCCTTCTTTAGCAGGGACCATTTTTTCTTCCCCTTTAGCAAATATACTGTGTAATTTTCCAAAAAATTAAGGACAGGGCTGCTTCATCGACCTGTGACAAAAAAGCCCTGGGTGTAAAGTGTCTTGTTACCGTCCTGATGGGACAGATAAAAACGATTGGTCAGAAAATAGCCAAGGGCGCGACCATAAGCAGTGACAAAATATTGTAAACAATAGTCACGTGATCATCAACCATGCGAGATCAATCAATAAATTAATTGTACCATAAATGCCCTATTATTTTTGCATGCCTTTTAATTTCTATTAAATTTTAATAAATAATTCTTAACAAATGATAATAAACACGAAAAGCATAAAAAAGAACACAGAAATACCTTATTAACCTGCGTTTTAAATTGTTTATGCTTTCTTATTTCTCACTACAAATGGTGGAGTTACAAAAAGGGGAGGCAAGTAATACCGTCGTCTATTTTAGACCGTACTGTGCCGTAACATTCCGTAGGAAAATACTTGGTGGAGTGGGTTTCCATTGGACATTACGCCGCCTGTCAACCAAGCTGGCGGGGGTCTTACAGATAAGCCAATCGGCGATCGTTATCAGTTTCACGCTAAGATGTCTGCAAAGTCCGCCATTTGCCTTAGACAAGCTTTTTGTACAAGACAATGGTGCAGCAGCATTTATATTGAAATTATTTTGATTTTTTGTCAATTTAAAGCTATTAAATCGATTGACCTTTTCGAAAACCTAGCTAAACACCGTTTTCCGGTACGTTACCGATTTAGCTCTGGGGAATTACACCAAATGAAGAACATAACACAGTTACATGATATTTCTATTTTTCTTTCATTATTTTACCGTTTAAGGTGAAAAGAATTGATGTTATTGAAAATTATCAATATTCCTTTAATATCTATTGCAAATTTTTCAAAAAAATAAGTTGTTTAAAATGAAAATCAATAAAATTTAAACCGACGTAGTGGAATCTTCCATAATAAATAAGGTTATTTTCGGCGTAAACTTGTGTATTTACTTTATTTTTTGTATGGAATTATTCATACAATGATATTTAATTATTTTCTTATAAAGAAATAACTGTTTTATTTCAATTTAATTTTAAAAAAGGCCGAAAACATCGAGTTCGCTATTACACTCTATTAGGTGAATTCCCCAGAGCTATGTACAGAAAGTACCGGAAAACGGCGTTTAGCTAGGTTTTCGAATTCGTGAATATATCAAAGTTACCAACTATCCTGACATATTGACAAATGGATTCATTTAGATCATTGAAAAAAAATATCAGTAACTTTGTATATATGAAGATTATAAGTTATATAGCAGGTACAAAAGCAGAGGCATAGATATTATCTAGATGTTATCTACATCTCTGACGAAAGTTAAAATAGAGAGAAATAAGGAATCCCTAAAGAACGTACAAAACGACAAAATTGAAAATGTTGCTGGCTCGGTTTGATTGAGTTTGTTCATGGACGGTAATGGAATGTGCAAGTAATCGTCCGCGCCCCTAGCACCGGCTTAAGCTGTATTCAACATTTAACGTGACCTGGTAAAATTTGGAATGTTGAAACATCCGCAGATGTGTTCATATGGCGGTTATCCTGGAACCTTCAATGTGACACGTAAGTGCCATTCCATGAAAAGCGGCATACGGTCCCCAAGTAAAAAATGCGTTTGCCCTAAACGAGAAAACAATGGGCGGAACTAAATAAAATGGAATTTTGAATGTCGATCAGAGGTTATGAAGCCTGGCTATATCACGATGCATTAAACAAGAAAAAAATTAAACAAACACTTTATTCCTTCCTTTATTACAATTATGTCTATTCATAATTACATAATATATTATAAGGTCTGATATGACATTTTTTGTTTGTTCTTAATATAGTGTCAATAAAATGCTGCAGTAGAAAAATAAAATGAGAGAATATGCTATAAATATTTTGATGTAAAATTACCCTACTGGGGTCCTACATATTTACCGGACAATCAGTTTACCGGACAAAAGCTATTAATGCTGAATAGTGCTTTATTTTTTGCTTCGATTCAAATATCATACATTCTGAATTGTACACACACTTTCTATTCCAAAGTAAATAACAACAAAACCACTCTCAGGTAAGATTGTTGATTCAATTCGTTATCTACTAACATGCCCTTTTTGTTAACTAGTTAATTCATGACCTGGTAATGCGGGGGAATAATCTGTTCTGCGCAGGCCCAAATATGGAGACCCTTAATGGTTTTTTTTAGATAGGTTTTACTTTTAATTCTTTTCAACGTTACTTCAAGAGACAATCGTAACATATTTTAATGAAAAGTAATTTTAAATTTAGTCTAAACAGTATCTCGTTGTTGTCTTTTACAAAGAAGTGCAAATTAAAAAAACATATAAGGAAACGGGTTACGCACATAGGACGAAACTCTACATGAAATGTAAATAAAACTGATTTTATGGCTTTTGTAACATGCTACATGATGACAAAAAGGAAACTGTATGACAAAGAACAGAAAAACAGAATTCCATTTGAATATTAAAATGTTTCATGCGTTTACGGATCATGAAGGATCAATACGTAAATTGAGTTAATAGTTTTAATTTCAATTACACCCCATATATTGGCCTCTTCATAACAGGCATGGATGCCGTGTCTATTTCTAGTGACATACTGGGTTTTTCAAATATCTTAACCTTGCCATTCAATAGTGGTAGCTTCCTTGCTCAGTGTTGCTTGTTATTTATAGATTAATTTCAATGCATGACTTCAAAAAAATTTGAAACACAATGTCCGGTAAATTGAGTTGTTTACACGATTTTTTCCCTCTTATAATGTCCTACTTTAAAGACACATTTCTACGGTCAAATGTTCAATTTCGTGTTTGATAAAGAATTGTTTACGTGAATAATGAACCCAAAATTATTTGGGTAAAATTCCATTCTTTTTAATTATTTGAAATAAAAGCTACAGATAAAAAACTTCATATTTTGTCCGGTAATATGTAGGACCCCAGTACCTAAATGCTCAATGAATTAAGATTAAATATTTCGATACATCTGCTTCTATAACATCAAATCTGATCACGGTTTTTATTTAAAACCGAGGTCTCACCGACTGGTGTATGCGA